GCTGAAGAACGTAATTGGGAATGTTAAAACTGTCTGTCTGTACAAATGTGTGCATGGATGTTGTGCGTGCCTTGTGAACATTTGTGTGTGTGTGTGTGTGTGTGTGTGTGTGTGTGTCTGTGAGTGAGACTACCACGGCACAAGATAAAGCATCTGTCACCAAGAGTTGGACTGCAAAGATGCAGTTTCTCACGCCCAAGAACCCTATACCCACAATCATTACTTGTGATTAATAAATCTTTTCTCCCATGGCAGGTGCGTACACCGAGTGTCGGGACATGTCTATATTTTAATGTGTTGTGGGGTGAAGCATTTCACTGCTGTAGAATGGGCGAAACCATGCGCAAACACATATGCTAAGCCACATAAAAAGGAAGTGTCTGTAAACTAGCCAAATGACCGAAACATCATGTACAGGCGATTTGTGCACGTACAAAGAGTGAGGTCACAACCTCACATTAAAGGCCTGGCCAGTGTGCAGAGCAGCTGTCAGATATGGTCTGTGATAAGAGCGGCACTTTTGTAAATGATGACATGTTAATGTAATTTCACACGGGGCTAAATTTCTCAATCTTAATGTTCAAGCCTTGAACTAAATGTCATATGTCATCCGGACTTCTGTCTATTTGGCTATTGTTCAGAACAGCTGTGTGAGATATGTAGTTTGTAAGGAATTCACCATTTAAAAACACCTCCTGTCTGTTTTACTTACAGTTAGTGAAAAAGCATTCGGATTCTCAAGTAAAATAACTTTAAGGGAAAAGTCTTATAACGAAGGTATTCTTTAAGAAAAAGTCTATTTTGTACCATTTAATGTTGAATGCATTAATCAACAATCTACACGTTCACATACACAAATATAAAAATTCCAAAACTAGACATAAAAACCAGCTTAATCTAGAAAAGTGTACTCAGTAGAGTGCAGATGTCTACCAGGAGGCTACCCGAGCTGATCCCAGCCACTCTAGACAGTTCTTGAAATTCCAGCAGACATGCACGGCGCTTTTCAGAAGTGTCCCAGAAGCGAATAAAAATACACTCTAGTTAGGACAAGTGAGTAGTCAGCTGTTAATGACTGTATAAAACAATTAAACAGTATTTTCAACAACTGGGAATCACTAACCCATGAGAGATTCTTGAGCCTACGGTTATAAATATGCACACAAAATTTGGGGCTGATTGGTCCAGTAGTTTGTGAGATTAGCTGCAGACAGATACTTACACACACACACACACACACACACACACACACACACACACAATGAAACACATGACAGACACCTAGATAAAAAGGATGATTATTGGACTTACATTTATGTGGTTACCAGAAATGTGACTCCAAAATGAATGCTAAGCATAATATGCTGAGCAAATATTTAACACTTGATAATTACTACTAAGTACAGCCATTATATAAATGTTTTCCTCAGCCTATGGAGACCATTATACGACTTAGGATATGAGAAAAAGAACCGTGCTTACAAGTGGTAACCCTGGGGCTACGAGCACAACCACATAGTCCCTGAACTTTGATGGATGTGTCTCAGCTAGTGGCTTGACCTCATTGTTATTACATCATCAGCTTTGTTTTTACGTAAGTTCACGTTTAGATTGGAAGCAGGACGTAAGCTTTGTAAGTGCCCTGGAAACCATCAAGTCCTATCTACGCTTACACCTGCTAGAAACACAAGATACACCATGCAAATGAAACAGTTTTTGGGCTGTTGCAAGGTGTATTTCCTCACTGCTGATAGTGCTGAGATAGTTTCCTTTGCTTCAAGGTTTTCAGCCACAAAGTTTGTCATGCCCCTACATGACCTATCTCCGTTCTGGAAGCACAGAGCTGAAACTGATAATGACCTTCTGGTCTGACTCAGTGTAGGATGGCAAACGACCATAGTTTCCCAAATGTCAAAGTATTTTTTTAAGAATTCAAAAGATTTTCTCAGATTTCCTCAGAGAACTGTAGGCACTATGAACTTGAACACACCCTGACTGATTAATTGGGCACCCAGTCTCCTCAGCTATGTCAACAGAAAACAGGTCATGTTTTGGAAACATAAGCCTTATTTCTCCTGATGAACTTTCCATGATGCGGAGGCAGGGACAATCATTAGCTGGAGTTAATATTCTCTCGGGTTTGTTTTGGAATTGATAGTCTCGGCTTTATTTTCACTGCATGTCAAAAACAAGTGCAGAATGCCTCTACAATATTAATCGTGGTAAATAGCAATACTCTTCTTACTGATATCCCTGAACTGACAGCTGAAACTGCACTGCATGGTATATCTTCTTAAGATTGATCTCATAATGTTTGCCAAAGAACTCTTGGTTTCTCAGTGTACACAGCTCTGTAATTCCATTCCTGTGAGACTGTGAGGACAGCAGTGGTATCGTGATGGGACGGGAAGTTGGGATATGGACCCCGTCTGGCGCCTCGAAGACTGCTCTAACCCAACCTGGGATGTAAAAGATCCCAAATATGACATGACCCCATGTTTGTGGTGACGGCGTAACATGATGATCACAAACTTCAAAACACACTCCACAAGATAACTTTAATCACTGATGGCAGTCTCACACCACCTGACAGAGCACAGGGGAGGGTTGCTATGATGTTAGCCAGCTGCTACAGAACACAGCGGGATGCTTTTAGATTTAGCACAGTAGAAAAAATAGATACAGCTGCATCTAGAAATTTGTCCCAGACTACAATGTACAACCTCATTCCTAGTGTCCAAACATTTGACATGGATGGGTCACACCAAAAGCCTCTCAGCTTTATACCAGGTATTTCTAACAAAATGACCTTTGTAGCTTTTGGGAAATCCAGCAGCCCAGGACTGCAGTGACTGACACCTCATTAACCCACCACAACCCTGCAGGGGCCAACACACCAAAGTATCCCTTTCTTTGTACCGTTTGTCCCGCCCATGTGGGTACTTGCTGCCCCCCAGAATAACTACGAGGGGTCAGAGTGTTGAGTGAGTTCACAGCAAATGAAACACACATGCACACACACACACACACACACACACACACACACACACAGACATCTACACACTTACTCGCACACAGGTGCAGACAACAACACCCCATTAGGCCTGACGAGTTGTAGGCGACACCCTGGGGGAATTGATTGTATGAGAGCCACAGCTTGAGTGCATTCATGGCTTCTAGTTCTGGGCCATAAAGCTCCCCATGCCATGAAGTGGAAACATCCATTCAATGTTACTGTCATGTCCACATTAATCAATCACACTGTAAAAACAGCGTTAGATAATCAGTGCTGTGTAGCTTTTAAAGCAATTTTTAGATAGCGTAGATTATCAATATTGTGATATTCATTATTGTTTTGGCGTACAGTTGAAAAAGCATATAGAGTCTGGTTATTAAAAGAATCTGTTGCTTCCTATCTTCTTCCTATTGTCATGAATATTGGGACACTCTTAGAACAAGCCTGAGCGTGCAATGAAAAAAGCAAAATATCAGCCTCATAGTGACTACAGGAAAACTCAAGGGATCATCTAAGTCAGTATAGGGATCATCCTCTGGGGACCATGAACATGTGTGAGGAGCGCTTCTACTGCAGATGCCAAGTTTCCAGCTGCCTGGAAGAAAAAGAAGCACCTGCTGTTATTTGACCACGATATAGTGATGACTGAGTAAAATCCAGAACAAGAGGCAGCTTTCACCAACAATCCCTGACCACATCAGGCCACACATTATATACCAAAAAAACCTAACCATTAAATGATGAGGTGCTCCCCTTGCCTCCTGAAAAACACTGAGATCTGCACTTTTGAAAACCCCTCTTCTAACCCATGCAAGCACATTGAGGTAAGATGCTCATACTGTAGGCTAAAATGATATCTAATACATATATATATATATATATATGTATATATATTTTGTGGTCAAAGGTCAAGGTCAATGTGACCTTGCGTCTGTCTTGCATCATGAACACAATATCTCAAAAAGGCCTTAAGGGAATTTGGCACAAATTTAGCACAAATGTCTACTCAGATGTAAGGATGAACTGATTAGAATTTGGTGGTCTAAGGTCAAAGTTCAAGGTCACTGTGACCTCACAAAACATCTTTTTGGCAAGAAAATTTCACAGAAATGTCTAACACAATACAATAATGAAGTGATGACATTTTATGCCCAAAAGGTCAACATCACTGTGACATCATAACATTCTGCAAATTCACCTTTCTGGTCATAATTTTAATAACAGAAGGGGAGACATCTTGGTTGTTTTTATAGTATTGTCAACTTTTAGGGTTAAAGTGGAGTCTGGACAGATATGGATATAAACTGTAACTGCGACTCATTCACGGAGGCAACCGCAATTCTAGTTATTAATTTATTCCAGCATAAAACCCATCCCAGAATGTATCGTGTGTGACAGGTGTGCCGATCCCATGTAATACTGTATGCAGTGCATTAATATAAAGTAATGAGATCACTGGGAGGAGGTTATGGGGTACAAAGGCACTACTGAATGTATGTGCACACTGTATCCATGTGTGTGTGTGTGTGTGTGTGTGTGTCTGTGAACATGTGCTTACTAGTGGTAACAGACCCATGAATTTGTCAAGTTCATCTAAGAAGTGAAGTAAATGTAAATGAGCTGTTATCTGTGTCAAAGTTTATGTGTTTTGCATATGCATTGCATATATTTACAGAAGCAGTGTTGAGCTGATTTTACTTTATGTGTACGTACCACTCTGTGCGTGTGTGTGTATGTGTGTGTGTGTGTGCCCTTTGCAGAGGCAGTTTGTAATCAGCTGTCAAAGTGGGCTCTGTCCCCATCGCAGCAGTTGAGAGCCGCATGCTGGGCGGTGTAAAGCTCTCAGGTCCACTCTGCACGCTGATCTGTGCACCAGCAGCAGCAGCAGCAGCAGCAGCAGCAGCAGCAGCAGCACTGAGGGTGGCGGATAGACAGGACACACACTGAAGCGACACTTTTTTCAGCCCATTGACTAGCTGTATTTTGTCAGCTGTAAGCATGGTGGTGTGAGCGTGTGAATCATTTTGTGTGTTTGGTTTGCTAATTTTCAGACTTCTGTGACCACCTTTGGAACCAATTGAAAAAAGGTAAGACCTGAAACAGATCAATATCTAATCATGGTTAGAATGATGTGATATCCATCACTGCTATTACAGAATGCTATTACAGCTACTGCTGTTAATAGGAAATTATATTAGCAGGATAGCAAAATATTTCAGTGCAATTTTTGATTCATTTTGTACAAATGACCACTGTCCAAATGTGCACTAAAAATACTCAAACTCAAATGTCTTTCTGCATCTTATATATAGCCTACTTTGTTGTTATAATTATTATTGAAAAATGAAATAATTTTTTTTCCAATATACACTAGGGATATGTGTATGTGTGTAAACGCATTAAGGCTTTGCTAAAAGATTAGTGTGAATATTAAAATTTTGAGATTAAAGATAAATAAAATGGCAGAGGAACTTCTCATCCCCTATTGCACCTCTCGACCCTCAGATCTGGCGACTAATCACTGCTGTCCATTCCACGCATCCACTTAAAAACCAAAGGTGAACAAGCATTTTCAGTTGTTGGCCCGCAACTGTGGAATAGTCTGCCTCTAGCAGTTAAAATTTACCCCTCCGCTGAAACCCACCTAAAAACCCGTCTCTTTTCTTTAGCTCCTTAATTATCATGAAGATTTGCGGAACCAATTTCTTTTCTTAATTTTGTTATTCGTGCACGGCTGCTTGTGCTATGATTTCATCAAGATACGGTACGCTTTTATTGATTGACTTACAATTTCTTCTTTATGTTTGTGTTCTTATTTTGATTATTATTGTGTTTTATTTAATCTCTTTGTAAAGCAATTTGGTCAACACTTGTTCTTTTTAATGTGTTCTATAAATAAACTTGACTTGACAAGGACATACAAAGGTCAGAAGACAGAGTTCAACATCCGAATGTCCTGACGGAGCCTTGAAATGAAACAGAAATAAAGAGAGGAAAAAAGAATTCACATGATTATATTGCAATAATGAGGGTAATAATGGAAGGCAGGCTTTATTTTTGTTGTCTTTCATCCATGATCCTAAGCCAGAGTCAAACCATGGATTGTGGTTATGGTACATGTTTTACCCATACCACCCCTTTCATTACTAGAACCCCCTCCATAGATCGTATCACTCTTGGTCTCGAGCAACTTAAATATCACATCAATTTCAAGATTCTGCTTCTCACCTGTAAGGTCCTTCATAATCAAGTCCCTTCCTACCTGTCTGAACTCCTTCATATCCACACACCCTCCTGTGCTCTCCAGCTCACATCACCATCTGCCTGCTTGACTACAATGGGTTCTAGAGCCCTCAGCCGTTCTGCCCGCCGCCTCTGGAATTCTCTCCCCCATGACATTTGCAATATTGACTCCCTTTCCACTTTCAATTCCAATCTGAATACACACCTTTTCAAGTTAGCATATTCGGGTTGATTTCACGGAAACACACATATGGTGGCCTGCACTGATGATTTATCCGCTGTGAGGGTCCTAAGGACAGAGGGATGTCGTATGCTGTGAGGCAAACTGTGATTTGTGATATTGGGCTTTATGATGATGATTTTATACCTAATATTTATAATAATGATTTTTGTCTAGTCATTTTATTAACTTGTATTGTCTATTACAGAATTGTTTGATTCTATGATCTCTTGATGCATTGCTGCTTGTTTTTTCTTTTTTAACTTTGACTTATAAGGTGTCCTTGAGTGCTCTGAAAGGTGCCTATAAATAAAATGCATTATTATTATTATTATTATTATTATTATTATCATGACCATCAGGACCACGATCCTTTAACTGTGGTTAAAGGGTCAATGGAGCTGATATAGCTGTTTTTTGACCAAATCTTGAAACAACATAATATATGGAAGACATAAAAATCTTCTCACATAAATGAAAAGTCAAAAAAAACATCTGTGCAACTGGAACAATTAATAATGCCAAATGTTGCAATTTTGTCTTTTAGGGGTTTATGTAGGGATAAACACCCTGCTTTGCTATCGCTAGGGAAGGATTAAGCTCAGACAAAAATTGTTTGCAAGGACACAGAATTGTGTGAACATTGGTGGAGGTTTGGTTCCTCTGCAAGAATGTTTTAAGTATCAAACACTTAATTTCCTGCATTCTTGTGAATTTCTATGCACCAATTTCTGCTTTTTCTGCATTCTTTCATGGTGTCTTTAATTTTGTTGAAACAAAATTCTTCTGCTAATTTCATGTTTTTATTGGGGAGGACAAATGCTCACGTTCTTATTATTTGGGGGGACGTGTCCCCTGCATCACCCCTAAAATCTACACTGGAATTTCATACAATGTCATTTTGTTTAACTGTGGGAATAATGGCGCATATTTTCAGTGAGTCTCTCCTGAAGACGTTCGTAGTGTTACAGTTATTTATTGACATGGAAAGTAGCAGAAATAATTGTGTCAAACATTATAGGAGAGAGCTAAAGAGAAGGCATTCAGGCGTGGTGAAGTGGAAAGCAATGAACAGTTTTTTGTTATTGTAAGTAAAGATTTGTTCCAGCAGCAGTGAGAAACGTTTGATCTACAAATGCTGGTTTTTAATATATTCCAATAAATAGTAGAAAAACTATGTATTTTTACACCCCTAAGGTTTAATTTCTTTTGTTCTCTCCATGTGTGGGTACAGATGATTGAGCTGGGCCTCCCTGACGGCAGCCTGATCGACGAGCTGATGGAGCTGACGGCACAGAGCCTCAGTCAGCTTGAGATCCAGGAACATTTCAACATCATCAAGGAGATCGGCCGAGGGAAATACGGCAAAGTGCTGCTTGTGACGCATCGCTTCCGGGGTATGACTGCACTTTCAATTCTCTTTAAGTCGAGAACCTTTTAGCAATCACCAATTACAGAAATATAATAATGGTCATAAAGTCTTGCTGATCTGAAACCACTTTTTCCCAATTAAAAAGGCAATGAGTTTGATGTGTCTTATGATGCCAGCATTAGTAATATAGGGGGTAGAAAGTAGAACTAACAAATGAGTTGAATAATAATAATTTAAGTTCTTTGTTTAATATGTTTTATTTTTTTGTAACTGTCAACCCAGTTACAATTCTATGTGGGTGTTCTGAAATCCCCAAAATTAGTGGGCATTTCACTGAAATGAAATAAATGAATGAAAATAAATAACTTTTCAAAATTTTCCAGCCAATGCAAATTTGTTGTAATTCATAGCTGGTTGAGCTGGACAGAGAGCTAAAGATTAGTGACTGCACTTTTCTGATGGGATGGGAACCCCAAACTCCAGAGTAGAGCAATGACAAAGGGGAGAGCAGAATGCAGAGCACGAGCTGGCATAAAGCTGGCTGGCTTGAGGCCTGGAGGCTTAGATAACCATTGGAACTGCAATCAGGGGTGACCTGGGTGAAGTTTAATGTTGTAGAAAAGCCTTGCAATGGATATTAGATAGTCATTACAATATACAGCATAATACCTAATATCCGTTCAGTGTCACTGCAGTGGTCATAAATATCTGTAATACTTAATTTCCCTAGTAAGACAAAGAAGATGTGCATGAACGGTTTTAATAATAGCCAAAGTAAAGTATGGATGTTGTGCAGGGACTCCCATGGCCTTGAAAGTGATGCCCAAAGCCTCGACTAAGCTGCAGGGCTTTCTGCGAGAGTACTGCATCTCCTTACACCTGTCCTGCCACCCCTGCATCGTGGGTCTCTTTGGCATTGCCTTCCAGTCTGATGAGCACTACTGCTTTGCCCAGGAGCTTGTGATCGGCAGGGACCTGTTTGCTGTCATCCAGCCAAAGGTGAGTCAAACACTGGCAAAACACCACTAAGACACTAAGGCTAATGCCAGGCTACTGGCTCTGTGAGGCTGTATTTAGATACAGCACGGTGCTTTGAGATGAATGCTAATGTCAGCATGCTAACCAGCTCACAGTGTCACAGCTGTTTTAGTTTAGTATGTTGGCATGCTAATTTTTGCTAATTAGTACAGAACACAAAGTACAGTTGAGGTTGATGGGAATTTTATTAGAATGTCTTTTCTGGAGTGTTAGGCCTACCTGAGGTTAACATGACAGCAGTTGCTAACGTCCAACACCAAACAGTTCAAGGGTCCCAACAATCTTACACTGACAGCGAAACAGCTCTACTCTGGCTTCAAACCTGTTAATAAACTTTAGCCATGTGATGCTAACAGAAGCCCTGTAACTGTCTGTGTGACTTTGTCCGAAGAACAGAGCATGCACTTTCACACCAGTAGTCCCATGATAAACATAGACAGCACATTTATAAGCACAGATAAATCAAGCTGTAACCGTAGCTCAACAAGGCCATGTAACTGGACCACTGTCCTTGTCTCAGTAAACAAGCACGGTACAGGAATCGATTTACTGGCCAAAGTATGTCTGCTTCCACTATGATCTATGATAGGTGGCAACATACTCCCTTTCAGTTTGTTAGTATTGGACCTTTTTCCGGTTGACCTTTTACGTCACAGACCAAACAATCTAGCGTCGTCCAGCTGTTCTGCCACTTTTTTGAACAGGTGACCAGACTGTGTTTTCCTCCCATCCATGTAGTTCAAAATATTTATCCTTTCAGGTAACACAGCATGAAAGATGTCTCGTGATCCATTCAAAAATGTATGGCTCTGGATGTAGATTTCACCATGTTGTTACCAGCTTCTTCTGTTATGCATTTAATGCTATTCGACTTCCAGGTCAAAGCCCTGGGTGGAAACTGGAGCATGTGCAGAGCACCAAGGCCAGTTTGGTTCCGAACTTCTGATTGACTGTATAAATGCAGGACTGATTCGACTCCCGTTCGCATTATCTGGGTGTGTTAGTCCGACTTTGAGAAATTGGATTTAGTACAATTGCAGTCAGACTAACATGTTTACATGCATTTTAAATGTCCAGTTTTAGTCAGCCTGACACAATAAACCAATTTTCTCTAATGTCATGTAAACGTACTGAGAGAGAGAAAGAGAATCATTGTAGAGCTGTGCGCAGATCTTCAATGAAATGAGATTTCACCCATTTTAAATGATCAAATTTGCATTAAATTGCGGTGACTGGAAAAGATTGCAAGATCCCATAGAATTCATGGTTATTGTCTGAATCTGCGTTAAGTGCCAGGATCACAACATCCCAATATCATGAAGGGACTGATATATTACCTTTAGTTAAAGTAACTGTCTTTTAAAAAATATGTCTGTGTGAAATTTATGCCTGTAACAAATTTGTATTTAAAAGCCTCTAGGCTTTAGTTTTATATGAATACAGATTGTGATATTCACAATTCTCTGAGGTGCAGGGCTGATATAAGGTCAATATTAACGCAAGCTGTCCAGCAACTCATAAAAGAGAAAGAACAACAACCACACTTCCCCTCATCAACAACGACACAGAGGTATTAAAACAGACATAAGACAAGATCAGTTAAAATAAGTGCATGAATAGAAATTAAATTAAAAGAATATTGTCCATTCCACAGTCCAGCCAGTTGTGGCTAATGTGATGTGTGTAACTGTGTGTGTGACTGGATTCAGGAAGTGTTAAACAGTCTTATTGCTGTCGGGACGAAGGATATAAATTATAATATATATCCTGCATTAAATGTATAAAAAAAAATAATGAGATGTGACTTGCATCATGTGGAAATATTTAACCATATACTGTAAGTATGTCGAAATATGTAAAGGGAAAAAATGATGCTTAAATGTAACTGTATGAAACTGTTGCATGCGAGGCCTGTCTCGTCAGGTGCTCATGCAGCCTTGCAGCTTGAGTGATGAGTCTGAACACAGTACCCATGCCTGAAAGTCTGGAAGGTGGACACTTGGATCCAGCCTTATTTTCTTTACACGGTACTTTGTGATGAGTGCTCACTTTTTATTCTGGCAACTTTGTAAATAACATGAAGAGTCCTCTCTCTCCTTTGTCTGATATTTTCAGGTGGGTATCCCCGAATCTTCAGTAAAACGTTGTGTCCTCCAGATCGCCAGTGCACTGGAGTTTATCCACAGCCATGGTCTGGTCCATCGTGATGTCAAGCCTGAAAACATCCTCCTGTTGGACAATCACTGCTGCCAAGTGAAGCTGGCAGACTTTGGCCTGGCCCAGAAGAGAGGCACTCTGATACGCTTCATCACAGGAACCCTGCCTTACATGGCCCCCGAGCTTTGTACCGTGGCCCTGATGGAGGGTCAGAAAGAAGTGACCGCTCCTCCGCTTAGTGTGGAACCCAGCCTGGACACCTGGGCCTTCGGGGTGGTTATCTTCTGCATCCTTACGGGTTACTTTCCCTGGGAGCGCTGCATGGAGTCAGACGACTTCTACCAAGAGTTTGCAGACTGGTGCAGAATGGAGGAGAAACCCAACACAGAGGAGGACATTCCTCCTCTGTGGAGAAGGTTCACTCCAGAGGCCATGGAGATGTTCAGTAAGCTCCTGGATCTGGATGTAGAAAAGAGGTGTACAGTGGGGGAGGTGAGAGCGTATGTGGACAAGGACTGGCTTAAGAAGGTACATGGGACCGGGCAGCAGCAGACAGCAGAAAAGGAAAAAGTCAGCACCTTTAGGAATAATCCTGGACATGGCAAGGTGGTGCAGCCTAATACTTAGTAACAGACTGCATTTGTATAATCTATAGCTTCTATCTGCCCAGACAGCATGTCAAATATACAGTCATAGGTGCCTGGCATCAGGCATGTGATTTGCAGTGATGAATGATGAAGACCATTTGACAGCAACATAAAGTTCACAGATGCTGCAGTTTCTGTGATAGAAGAAATACTCTGGTCCTTTATTTAAAGGAGCAGTGGGAAGAATTTAGTGCCATTTAGTGGCAGCGTTGGGGTCATCACTTTAAAGGATAATGTATTACTCATTACTTTAAAAAAATGAATGCTTTACTGTACTTATATACTCCCTGCGGAAATCACTTACATCACTTTTTTGTTACTCTGCATCATCACCTGAGATGCACTGTCAGGTATGTGTGTGCGCTGCTGATGTTACACGATGTCAATCATGCAGCGCGCCAGGAATTTGACCGGCGTTTTAAATCGGCATATTTTAGACTGACCGGCCGGTCGCAGGTCACGGCTGATCACATGAAAATCGGCCCAATTACGAGCACTGCCAATTAATCGGTGCAAGTCTGATAAAAAGTACAAAGGAGGTTGGCGTTTTCTAACATTGCCTGGTACAAATATTAATTATTTCAAAATAATATATCAATAAACCTTAATAAAACGATAAAAGAGACTTAGAAGAGCCTCTCCACTAGTAGATGTTGCTGCTGTCGGCGTGCTTGATGATTTTTTTCTATCCACCCATTATGTAGATAGTTGAAGAACTTATGTAAGCAACGACATAACTGTTTGATTAGTGACTGTGGTGTGATTACTGAATTTAGACAGTAACATGTTACATTACTGCGTTACAAAGAAATGTAATGTGATTGCAGTAACAGTACAATGTGTTACCCCAACACTGAGGTTGCAGCCAACTGAATATCCCTCCCTTTCCAAGCGCGTAAAGAGCCTATAGTGGCATTGACATGAAAACATGAAAGGCTAAATGCTACTACGGAAACATTTCAGTACAACATGGCGGTCGACATGAAAGAGCACCCACTCCCTAATAAGATACAAAGGGCTAATTCTAAGCTAATAAAAACAGAATGATTCTTAGTTTCAGGTGATACACTAATGAATATTATATTTCACTTCTGCCAATGGCTCCCCATAAATCCTACACGGTGCTCCTTTAAGGAAAAGTCCTGCATTCAAAATGTACTAAATTATTAAGTATTTTAAGCAAAATGCATCCTTACTTACAGTAATATATACTGATCATACATTGTATGTTATGTTTTGAATTATTATTACTTTAAATAGGATTGTTTAGTTGATTTAGCAACTTTAAACTTACACCACTAAAGCCTGCATTATTACTTAGTCTTTGAAGAGAGACCCTGTGTAAAATCTAGTTCTAAGACTTTATGTTAGTTTACTGTGCTCACATGGGACCAGGTCGTACTCCAGTGTAGGAGTACTCATTGGTCCCTGGGTCTAATGAAGGAGGGGAACAACACAGCCCCAAAACAGGTTAATCCCCTTAACAGGTCAATGCAGCCATGCTGCTGGGGTATTTCAACCCATAAAAATTCACCATATTTTATAGATCATATGTTTTGAATGTAAAATCTGGATGTGCAAAGTAACTATAGCTGTCAGATCAATGTAAATGAGTAAAATGTTGCTAAGTAGTTAAATGTAAATGTAAAATGTAACATCAATGCAAATACTCAAGTTTAAAGCAGCTGTGCGGAACTTTTTACCATTAATAAAACTGCCCCTAGTTCATATCACCCCCCGTTGAATATCCGCATATTTATTTGAACCGACAAAAAAGCCTTTCTCTATATGGCTATTTAGCGTGGCCTCGCTCAGGTCGGACACACAGCGGAAGTCAGCAAACCAGAATACGGCACCGGAGGCGGAAGTGATTCTGCTCGCCTGCAACGATTAAACCACAGAAGAAGAAGGAGCCGTGTTTACAGTGTTCTTCTAGTAAGCAGTACGCAACGAACATTGCTGAACACATAACACCTAACAGTTTTACCAGAGATGTATCTATGAGGACTTGGTTGTACTTTTGATGTCATGGCAGATAACGAAGGAGCATCATGTAAAATTATCTGTGACTGAGGCCATGAACACAAATATACAGCAGGCAGTTGTCCTCAGTTTATAAGAAATTCAGAGCTACACCAGAACATTTATGAACAGGTCTTACTTTTCTATTAATTTGTGTGTAACGTTAGCATGTTAGCATGTTTCCACTAATTACTTGGACTGACCTAACGTTAGTAGCATTAGCTTTGCAAGCGAAGGCTGCAGGTAACAGCTTTGCTGTGTTAGGATTATGTTATGTCTTCACTGTGTATCTTCACATAAAAGAATACTCCGATGATTTGGGAGTTATGCCCTTTCTCTATCATTTTCAAATTAAGACAACATGATCGATACCTTTTTTTGTGTCTGTACATCCAGTGGCTGGGTCTCAGCGGTTAGCATTGCACTTATAGGGGGTCAGTACGTCCTGCGCTGTGATCCGCAGAGGGATACACAGGTGAGCAGGCACAGACATAGCTTGTAAACAAAACTCAGCTGTTTATTTAGCCTAGCAATATCTCCGGACTATAGTAGCTGCAATGGACGACTTTGAACGCGATTTTGAAGAGCGGATCTTGTAGCGGACACAGATCCAGAGCCATACCTGTTTGAGCCGGAGTACTCAGATGAGGAACTCCATGTGTTGGATGCTGAGCGGGCGAGAAGAGAGGCTGAATCCTCCGCTCCCATTTTGCTGCACAGAATGGGATTCGGTGCTACCATCGTTGGGGAGATATATCATCAGGAGGAAAAGCGCCGCAGAGAGTGCATCACAAGGAATGAAAACTTTGCAGCAATCACTAATCCTGGAGTGATTGAAACTTTTTTTCATGTTCCTAAGATGAACTGGAAAAAACGCCCCAGGCCTGCAGGAGCTGATGGACAGCTTTCAGTCGGTTCAGTAATATCGTCCGTGTCGTCTCTTTGTTTGCTTTTACCGAGTGACCTAGCGTACCTGTCCCAGAGCCATCTGCAGCTGTTGCTCACCGGTGTATCCCTCCACGCAAGATTTACTGACCCCCTACAAGCGCCAAGATATCCATCATGTTGTTTCAATATGAAAATGATAGAGAAAGGGCATAACTCCCAAATCGTCGGAGTATTCTTTTCACATAATAATGCGGACTCAGCAGATGACTTGTTAACTGTTTATTCCTCCTTACACCGAACGTACACGGCTGCTTCTCATTGTTTCCAGTAGCACAACAACGGTTACTATATTACCCAGAATAACTTGAGGCTCACACTACTACTGTAGCCTTAGTAGCTCAAAATACACAACAGATTAGATTAGATCAGAACAGAAACACGACAGGAGAATTTACTGAGTAATTTTGCTGTTTCCGCTAATTACTTGTACTGACCTGAGTTAATCCTCTCGCTCTCCAAAACAAATGCATGCGGTAATTGCCGGCTGCAGTCGGAATTTTACGACACCAGGCTGTGGGTGTCATACCGCTTCGACCAAAGGGGCGCTATAATCAACGAAAACGAAAAGTTCCGCACAGCTGCTTTAAGTATCAAAAAGTTGTCAGTTTTATGAGAGGTACTACTCACCCTGTGAAAACAGTAGTATGATGTCCTTTGTGACTTTGGAGGGAGCTTAAGTTTAAGTTCCAAAAAATAACCCTGATGATGTGATTGTGGTTATCATGCATCGGGCTTTAAAAGAAGTGGACATGCATTGCATTGTGGGAATGTAAGATCCAGTGTTCTTTGAGCTTGACCCATACGAGAGATATAAAGCCAGGATGTCTCAGCCATTGCTGCAGCATTCCTCTTTAGTCCTCCAACCTCATTGGAGTGCAGTACTAAAATGCTGGCCCTTTAGGCACAATATCAGAATAAATGTACATAGTTATTTTCAGCTGCTGATGGGTTAATATTAATAATTATTATGTATAACATGACTGAACATTAATTTAAGCCCATTTAGTTGCACTTCATGTTTTAATCAAAGATGCTTTTAAAGGCCCAGATTGTAAGATTTAGGGGGATTTAGTGGCATCTAGTGGTGAGGATTGCAGACTGCAACCAGCTGAAACTTCTCAAGTTTGGAATTCTTCAGCATTAAGGAGGTTTTTACCATGAGCCATTCTTCTGCAGAGGTCTCTTCCTCCCCAATACAAGACAAGACTCTCTAAAACTGCTGGATACGGACCATTAACTTAGCATCCGCAAATGTGCGCTCACCTTATTTCTGATTCAGATGTTCAGGAAGTTTTTACTGGGAGCAGAATTATCTGCAGGGGTCCTTTCATCTCCGAAACAAACTGACCCTGTGATTTAAACTGGTAAAAACACCAAATAAAGCAGTTTGACATTAAAAAATATGTGTTTTTCTGACTCTTGATGCAAAGGGGCTTGAATGGACATTGACATATCTAGAACCAGTTTTTGGTTTGTCCATTCTGGGCTACTGTGGAAACATGGCAGTCTCAGTAGATGAGGACCCACTCCCTGTGTAGATAACAAAAACAGGATTCTTAGTTTCAGGTGATTATACACTAAAAAACATATACTTATCATATTCCATTTTTGCAATATATCCCCCTAAATCCTATAGTGTGAAGTCAGTTAGTGTGAAGTCTTTCGCAGTACATGACAGCACACAAACCCATTGCTTCTTGGACTGAATAGTCCCACAGCATAACATTCTGGTGCAGCAGAGGAAGTATTAGGGTTTTGTGGACAGTAATTATAAAAACTGTCGGGTTCACCATTTGTTTCCAGATATCACTGCAAATGCAAGCACCAGGCAGCACATGTTCATTTCCTGCCAGACATCATCTGGAGTGCAACAGACTGCTGTTGCATGTTCTGACCTCCTGCCTTTGGGGATGGCGCTGTTGTGTAATGTTTGCACAAAGAAAGCAGCGCGTAGGATGTGTGTGGAATTTGCATGCTTTCCTGATTGACTGCAATTCAGCGGCAATGAAACTTCTCATAAATCATAAAAGTTCACTGATAAAATTTGCCTTCAACTGCACCACATCTTACAGTCTGTCATTTAATATTAATGCAGGATGCATCTATATAAGTTATATACTAATCAATATTTTGAAAGTTGAGTTAATACATGTTGAGCCATGTATGAGCTTAACTTTTTGTGTATTTTGTTATTTTTATATAGATTTTGTAATTTAATGTTTGATTTTTAAAACTAAGAAATGGTTGACATAAAAACAATTAAAAAAAAGTTTTGCTTAGTGTGACGACAGACTCATTTCTGTAACTGTTTTTATCATATCACCCACACAGTTCACATGATCTTTGTATCATTACTCATAATGTTGTGATGTAAGAGCATGTAGATTAAAATAGAAAATTGAAAAAATAAAAATCATGCATCTATCCACTTAGTCTTGTTTTTTTCCATCCACTCTCTTGTGCATATATCACATTGCTGTCCTTGAAGTTAGAGCCATGACATATGTCAGATCTCGGTATCTGTCTCACTCAGTTTTCACTCCCCCTCTCATCTACTTCACTACACTGGCCCTCTTCAGCCCCTTTACATTTTATAATCTCTTTGCAATCTGCTACAGCTGGCTCTCCACTGATGGATGTCCTGCTTTTGTTGGAGTATATGGGACACCACAGGTGCTTTCAGGACAGGACGTGTTGGCCTCTGAAAGGGGGGCAGACCCAAACTTGGCCCGGGGCCTGATCCTGCTCGGCCCCCTCATGCTTTACAGCATATTTAGGGCATTACACTAACCAGGGTCATCTTTCAGCTGACCCCTGGGCCTGACTGCACAACCAGGCCTGTCATACAAACTAATACAGCCAAGTAAATCTGACCGCAAAGCCCTCTGTGATGGCATTCACACATACAGTAACAGACCCAGCGTTTAAAAACATTAAAACAATGTTTTGCATGCCTGTTCAGTGTAACACAGCTTTACAACCAGTTAATTAAACTTGTGGACTTTAAAAATCTTGCTTCACAAGAGAACTTTAAAATGTAAGTTATTTAGGTGTTTCAGATTATGCTTTCCTGCTAAATGTAAGAAACTCTCAGTAGCAGACTAAACAGATAAGCAAAGCATCATTTCCAGGAAACTATATCTACACAAGAATCGTGAGTCTTATCATCACATGAGTTCCTTTGCCTGCCAAATAAAGATTGCTTCATGCTGTTAAGAGAGACACTGTGGTCATAGACTTTCCCCTTTATCTTATCTACAAGACAAGGGTGTCATGTTTTCAATACTTGAGTACTTAAACATTGCATAAATAAATCATCATGCACTGTGACAGATGGATACACATGTCCTGGAAAAGGGTCATTTTTGGCCCTTTTGGCACCCAATGCCAGTGTTTTCCAGCCAGGGTGCTTTTACAGTTACCAAGGGATGCCTGGAGAGATTGTAGCGTACTCAGCTTTATAAAAATGTAAATATTATGATATAGATAATTTACTCATGCTTTATCTAACTAATGCATGTTTCTGACCAAGTTGCTGTCCTTTTCAATGTCCCTTTAGTGCCTGCAATCTCTAATCTTAGAGGCCCTCGACACTTTCAACCCATCCCCTGTAAGGCATCTCAACAGCTTGATCCCCTAGACTTTTCATGTTCCGTGGAGGAGATGGCTACTAAATTTCTGCACTGTGCTGAAGCTCCCTTTAAAATGTCTAAACCGTGTCCTACCATGGAAGTTGTTTCTTTAAGGTAGGACACGGTAGGACAGGGCATTAGAAGGGCGGCCAGATGTGCTGAACAGAAATAGAAAGCATCCAAATTATGTAGCAATTTTAATTCC